TGTATGTCCCACTTCTATTGGTGAAGAAGTGATGCATGATGATTTACATGAGAGACATGTTGGAATCATTCAATTCCAATAGGGGGGAGCAGAAGGCTTGTGGCATGCACAAAGAAAAAATTTACATATAGAGAGCAGAAGTGGACAAGAATAGCTCATTTTGTGAGAGAAGGGAAGTACCATATCAGAATTAAATATAAAAAATAACATTTAGAAACGAGTCAATAGAAAATAAATGAAAAAACAACAGAAAATGGTATAAATGTGAGGTGGAACAGTAATTTGATTATGGAAATCTGCTTATACGTTTTTATTAAGAAGTATACTTTCAGATGTTTAATTTTAGGAAATAAAGTTATCACCATTATGAACAAGCAATTAAAGGGTATTACATCTCTACTGATGCCAATCAAACATTTTGTTGTGTTGTGTTATTTGGAAGGAGAATGGAGTGGAATATTATAATTAGTGAATAACAAAACAGTATTTCTCTGTAACCTATATGAGAATGTTATTACATTTTTAAAGTAATTGTGAAAATTACTGTGTTCAGCTCAACAGTTTGTGACAAAAGCCAATACGTGCATTACAGCATCTCAGAAATTTAATGTTGTAGTAATGGCTTACCTTGGCAACAGCTACAAACTTTACAATCACATCAGCACGCTGCTGTGGCAAAGACTTGCTTAAGACCATGCACTGAATCCACTTGGAGATATCGTTACACAAAGATATGGCTCTTTCTAGTTTAGGGTTATCCTGCAGAGTTCCCTTCACTGCTGAAGTCTTGATGTCCATAAACTTCCCAATTTAGAAAAACAAAAATTAGGGTTTCACTGTAATTTTTTCAGTGTAGTACTTTAAAGTGAAGTCATCTTAAATAATTTATTAATAAAGTAAAACTCATAACTTCTGTTTTTTATTCACTGATTTACAGAGGAAAAATATACTTTGATATCCATTTATATAGTTTACATTACAGAGCTTCTGATGGTGTTTGAGACAACCAAATAATACTTCTGTTTTTAGAATTTATAAAATACTACAATAAAGACTTACTGTTATCCTGCTCATCATTTTGTGTTCTAAACATGTCAAATGATCTGCTAACTCAGCAGGTTCAAGATGATCAAATACTAATGACACTTTTTTCTTGGTGTGCTTGCCTGAAGGATTTCTTACAGACACACTTCTTGCCCAGTGGTAAGACGGACTGTGAGACATTTAATGACCATAATTGTAAGAAAACATTGCATTTTTTTAAAGTCAATTTGTATTTTTTAGTAATTCTTTTCATTATTTTATCAAGATATAAAACAGATATATCTAAAAACTATGTAAAAGTCTTTCAGGCTCTTATAATTCAAAATATAGGAAGGTACATTAGCTATACATGTACTTACACTTTGGAGACATCCACTAAATCTCCCAAGGCACTGTAACCTCTGTCTCGTATGGACTGCTGAAAGTCCAGCAACAGTAAGGTAACTTCATTGTTTAGATCAAAATGAATTGGAAATGACCGTATCCAAAACCTACAATTTTTATAAATAAAAACACAACAAATTTCAACTATTTTACATTTGATAAGTATTTTGAATTATTTTATATAATTCAGTTTAATGAAGGTGTGCAGTTGAGATGCTATTATATTCTTCTTACTGATAACCCATATAAGTTCAGTAAATTAAGATTTGTTAAAAATTAATAACAGTCTTATCTAAGATCTTTTGATGCATGTGTAATAAGTCATGAGGAAGGTGGGAGAGTGAAGAATTATCATCAAAGACATTCAGAACTTTGAGTCACATGGTTGTTAATGGCATCAGAGCAAAACAACAAGGAACGGCTATCAGTATTTCAGAAGTCTACCTGATTTGAAATAATATTTAGGATTAGTAACCTACATAAGTTCTATCTAACTTCAAGTTTACAAGCTAGGCTGCATGATGGAAATTTTGCTTTAAAAACATAAAATATTTCAATATTATTGTGATTAAAAATACCAATATGTGCTTTACTATGTCAAGAAACACCATTTTACACAAATTTGTGTTTCAAGACTGTCACACTTAATAAAATTAAATCTGAAATATCTCATTAAAATCCATATAGCTAGTAAAATTGAAAGCATTAAGCATAAGTGAAACTGACAATTTCTCATATAATTCAATAATATTGATAAATGAGGAGACTTACACCTGACTGAAATAAAAAAGCAAATGACAGTAAAAACCATAATGCAAAATTTATTGAGTATACTTTTTAGCTGTAGTTGTGGTGTACACCACATATTTCAGAAAAAATTTAAATGTGGCAGTCGTGGACATCTGATATGTTTGAGAACAATAATTAAAATATCAGGTATTACATTTTATAGAGCACTCTACATGATTCTGACAGAAGTCAGTTACGCATGACAATGTTATAATCTCCTAGTTCTCATCAAAACATAGAAGGCAAAACATTTTCAAGTAAGTATATGGGAGGCCTGGAATTACTTTAGTGTTAGATATTACAATTATCGTTAATACTGCACTTTTTACAAATACTATGAAATGTCAGAAGCAGCAAGCTGTTTTCAAGAAAAAAAATTAACTGCATGCCACCTACAGTCAATTTAACCAATAACAAGCAATTCTGGATGCAACCTGAGTTATAAACCCTTTGTATTTGCTACTGAAATTAATTAGTGTCATATGAATTCTAATAAATCATTTATTTTAATACAAAGAGCCCATGTATAAATATCACTGAACAGCCAGGTAAGCTCAAGTACATATACACAGAAAGGTTTTATTAAGAGAAACAATGTATAAATAACACAGCTACAAAGTGATATATATAAACAAATATGTTTAACAGTCTCTCATTTATGTGACAAGTTATTTTCAATAGACATGACAAATTATATGAATAATTATAACTTTTATTTAGAATATGGTATAGAGTGTTTCACATATTGTACAAAAAAGTGTTCAATATGCTTTCCATCATTCTCAATCAACATATCAAGCTTATTCCTGAATGAGGCTATTGTAAGCATCATCTGTTTTCTACAGTGTTCATTGCTTCTCATAATATCCTGTATACTGCCACACACCTTATTCAGTTGTCCTATTTTTTATTGTATAAAATAAGAGAAGAAAGAGAAATAAAATGCATTATCTTGTATAAATCCTCCACTAATTGTATAATTTTTTCTAATAAAGAAGGCTGGTACGGGACATGGGAGTAAAGGTAGAAACAGGAGTACAGACATTAATATTTTTTTTGATGTACAAGTTATGCTACATAATGATGAGGAATGAAATTTGAAGTTTGTATTGTTAATATATTATAGTTGGAAATGAGGATAGCAAGCAAGTAACTGAATTTTTCTAATGGTTAATTCTTATTGAAAAATGACAGCACTTGGTAAAATTGATTAGTTCAATGTGGAAAAAGAAGACTAGACACAGTACAGTACCTTGATGGCATGAGAAAGAAATGTGCTATATCATTTAGTGTTTAATGGTTGTAAAACTTATGGTTTAATGCATAGCCTATTAGCCCCTGAGAAGTCATCAGATAAAATATTTAAGGAGCAATGTGACTTAATTCTAGACCATTACCATCTATGCTTTCCCCCATTCGTTCAATGGTTTAAATTAAACTCTCATTTTAGGAAACCAAGTCAATCAACTTATGAATTTGTGGCTGAATCAAGACATATCATTAAATACAGTGATTTTGGGGAGACTTTATAGAAGAAATGCTTTGTGATATATGGGCAGGAATGATGTGTACAGGATGATAAAATTCAGCAAAGGTTGTTATTATAGTTACCTTGAATTAAAAAAAACTATGGATATAGCACAAGCAATGGATCTAGTGGATATAAATGCTACTGACATTCAATCAAATCTGAAACCACATGTTTTACACAGAAGAGAATAAATGATGAACCAAATTCACAAGCAAACCTCAAGGTAAGGAAAGAATAATAAACTAGCTATTAAGCATAATGATAAACTTGGCAATAAGCAGAACGGTAATCAACCAATAAAGATGTCTTAAGTTGTTTACCATTACAACTATCACTCCTATTTGTCTGAAAGATATTTTTTCAAATTCAAGTGACCATCCATAAGCTATTTACAAACTTTATTCCATGAGCTAAAAGAAGTTCTGACAATTTCTTCCTCCAGAATGTAAAGATGGGCTCTGATATGGTCAAGTGTTCAAGAGAACAACCAGTGATGAGATGTTTCACACAGATCAGGAAGTCACCCAATCTTCTGGACTTATAATCTGGAGTGATATTTGCCATAAAATATTGTATTCTTGTTCAAAGTAATATGTGGCCTAATGCAAACTTAAGCCTTATTGTGTACAGGAAATGGAACTGAGTGTACGAGATAGAATTATACTATGAGGTAAGAAAGTGTTAGTACCTACACCAGACAGATCAAGAGCACTAGATGCTGCTGCATAAATCACACCCAAAAGTAAAAGTGAGACTTTCGGAGTTGAATCCGAAAATATAATCACACTTGCCCTTAAATACTAGCTCCAGCTTTAACATATACTCTAAACTTGAAAAATAAGGTCTGGCAGTAATGCTGAAAGTTAAGAACTATCAGTTCTATTTGTCTGACAGACATTTTTAAATTTCAAGCAACAATCCATAAGTCTTTTAGAAACTTTATTCCAGGAATAATAAGGTAATGAAGTTTGATACATACCTCATTCCTCAAATTGAAGATTTATATTCTAGTCTGATAGGAGAAAGGACATTCAAGAAAAGAAATATCCATGATGCTTACCTTCAATTATCAATTCCGATTTCATTGTCACCTGCAATTTTTCAAAGATTTATGGATAGTCTATTGTTGGGAATTCTACAAGTTTTTTTGTTATGTGGATAACATTCTAATTACAGGAGAAAGAAAACAAGAGCATTCGAAAATCTCGATGCAGTTGTTAAAAGTTGTTTGTAACTGCATGGCTTTAGTGCAAGAAAAGATAAATGTATTTTTTAATCTAGTGAAGTAGGGTATCTAGGTAACAGAACTGATGCTGAAGGTGCTTTTAAAACATTCAAGCAGATACTGCATTCTTCAGAGGTATTGGTACACTTGATTCCAACAATGGTCTTGCACTTGCTTGTTATGCTTCACCATATAGTATTGATGCAGCATTATCTCACACGATGGCAGATTGGTCTGAAAATATAATCACATTTGCCTCTTAAATACTAGCTCCAACTTTAAAGATGTCCTCGCATGACCATATCCTTGCTTTGCTTATATAATTATGTGTGACAGATGTCAGAGCCCATCTCTATATTTTAGATGAACAAATTGTCAGGACTTCATTTAGCTGATGGGTGGTTTATGGATGATCACTTGAAACTTAAAAATGCCTGTCTGACTAGTAGAAGTGATAGTACTTAATTCTGAACAGTACTTCCAGACTTTATTTTTCAAGCTTAAGATGTCATAAGTCATTTAGCATTACAAAAGAAACCAATAAAAACTCTTATACTACAGGATACAGTGCTACTATTAAAGTTTTAAAATGCTTCTCTTATCACAGCTAAATAAATGAAAAAAAACAAGATCCTATCTTATCCCGTGTTTGCCTCTTCATTACCAACAGATGGCCTAATACAAAGAAATTCAAATTTAAGTCATACTGTGGACATGAAATGGAACTGAGTGTACAAGATGGAGTTATACTGTAGGATAAGAAAGTGCTAGCACCTAAACCAAGTAGATCAAGAGCACTAGATACTGCTGCATAAATCACATCCAAGAATACTGAGAATGAAACTTTGAACAAAGTTATGGTTATGGCTGCATTTAGATAAGGATATTGAAGAAAAATGTAAAGGATGTGTCACATGTTAAGCTAATGCTAATTAACACCAGTTTCACCCATGTATCTATGGGATCATTCAAGAGAACCATGTGTAAGAGTACATGTTGATCATGTTTGTCCATACACGAAGTAAATGTTCCTGGGCATCACTGATGTGCATTCGAAGTGGGTAGATTTGTATCCAATGGTGAACACTACATCTGAAACAACTATTAATAAGTTTAAATAATGTCTGCTAAGAATTGACTACCTATACTTTAGTATTGTTCAACTGTTCTTCATTCATCAGTATTCAGTTTCTGAAATTTAGGAGTATCAATGAATTCACACACTTGATCTGTGCACCTTATCATCCTGGATTGAATGGTTTGGCAGAGAGATAAGTATAGACGATTAAAGACGACATGAAAAACTGCAAGGGGTAATAAAGAAACAAGGGTATCCTGATTCCTCTTCAAGTATCAAGTTATATCACATTCTACTACTGAAAGATTTCCTGTTGAATTTCTGATGGGTAGAAAAGTTGAAGACTTGTCTTGTCTTGCTTAAACTGGATGAGTTGATGAAAGTTTGCTCCACTTAGTTGAAAAAAAAAGTTATGGTATGACTCAAATGTAAAGGACAAAAATTTGAACAATGGAGACAAATTATATGCTTAAAGCATTAGATGTTATCCATGACTGCTTTACAAAACAAATGTTGATCAGGATAGTTCTTAAGTTGTCATGAAATTAAGAGACAGTTGTAATATCAGAAGGTATGCAGATGACCTGAAAATGTTATTGTTCAGATATGAGCAACAGAGTAGAGCTTGTTCCATAAACATCACACCATAGAATGAAATAAATGAAGATCAACCTACAGTTATGCTACCAGAGAAGAAGCATGGCAATGTTTGTACTGAAAATGCACTTATAAGTGAAACTGGTTTCAAAACACTCACCAGAGATATCAATGGAACAACCAGTGCTGAGAGGTTTCCCCTAGATCAAGAAGTCACCCAAATGGCTGAACTTATAATCTGAAGTGATATTTGCCATTGATTGTTTTGTTGAAATTGCTAAAAATATGTACTAAGCAAGTCATTTGTGTATATCTTTGAGGGTGCAGAGATATTTCTAGATTTAAATTACAGTAGATTAAAGTTGGAAAATCCTTTTGTGGTTATTAGACTTAAGGGGAAAGCAGTGTAAAGTATTATATGAACCCTCAGTTAATTGTACCAATTGTTTTAATACAAAGGCAAGTTAAAGGAAAGTGGCAGAAAAGGATGACAGACAACACTTTTTCTGTCAGGTCAGATTAGAATGAAGAATAATGTTTAGTTTGTTTCCTGTTAAAGAGTTGTGAGTGTAAATATATTACAAATAAGCAATACTAGTTTAATGGAAGAAAAGCATGTTAGGTTTATAGTGTAATATGGTTTTGAAACACACTGTACCTGAATAATACTTTTCAGTCTCAATATGCCTTTATTGACATTTTTTCCTCTAGGAATAGTAGTTTTAAAATACAATTATCTTGGTAAGGAGGTTTTCTTTACAATCACCTTGTATATTAGAATCAACTAACTATTTCAGCTGTTTTAGATTTTAAAAGTGAACAGGGTTTAATTTTTGTATAAGTTTCAAGATTTTAGCAGCATAATATTCTTTGTGAACACTGTATGGCTATTACATATTATTTGACCCTTTCCACATTCTTTTGTATTTTACCAGTTAAAATTCTTTCCAGAATAGGCCTTGCTGTAACTATTAGGGTCATTCAGACTACTTTTGAATGAAACTATAAATGTTTCACTCACTTAAACATGTGAATAAGATTCAAGAAAACATTATACAAGTATTAACAGAGAAAAATTAATAACATTTACCTAAAAGCCTGGCAAACTCTTGTGCGAAATTGATATACCCTACATCTATTAACATACTCCAAAGTGTGAGGGCATGGAGGCCTGCACCCATACAACTGTTCAGCCTTCCAGAATTTATGAATGGTTAAGGATATGTTACTTTTTTTCTCTATTGCTTATTTCATTCAAACCCAAAATATCACATTATTCTTTAACCTAAAGTAATTTTTAAATTAACCTATAAACTTCTATTATGACATAAATATTGTTATATCCTTGAATAAGTTTTTTTTCCACAGTTGAACACCTTGTGAAAATGATCAAATTTTGTCCTCTATCAGCTTTCCATTTCTTTTTAGTTTGATCACTCTATGGTGAGCCATTTATTATACTCCAACTAGGCAGTTTGTTTCTATCTGGTTTAAGCTGAACCCTGTCACAATTCTCAGTATTGTTGCACCACAAAAGGGGATTCTACAAAAGGAGAAAGATTTCTAGTACTCTTATAATCTAACCTAAACATGATTAATAACAAGAGAAGAAAAACTAAAAATATGAATACTGATCAAAGCTTTTTGAGCTTGAAAATGATTTTGCACTAATTATTAAAGTTATTTTTTTGTTCCTTGTTCATTTCACTGAATATTCAAAATAATGTTCTACAGAACTTCTGATTAACGCGTATAGCAACATCACAATTTATAGCCAAAAACACTTTTAGCCTTGCAATAACACAGTAATGTGCAAAGAACATTAAAAGAGAAGGGACTCAAGAGAAAACAGAGCATGTTTCAAGCATTGCAAGACAAACATTTTTCTTTTCAGAGGGTGGGGATGGAGGTGGAATAGTAGCAAGTAAAAAGTAAACAGATCCTATTTTATTCCTATTTTTCAAGTTAGTCTTTTAAACATTTTCATATCTAAAACTTTTAATATTTGTGTACATGCAACTTTTATTTAAGAAATGGGCACATCAATGCAATACAAAGTACTAATGCTTGACCATTGACAATTCAAAATTCTAAAATGCATGCAATACTCTCTTTAACTTTTGACTTCTTTAATAACATGCTCTATCTAACATACAACTGTGCATCCTGACAGTGCCCCTGCATCATAGTTTCCATTGCAAAAGGCTCTGTCATAATGCTTCCATGTCTAAAGCACACCACTCTTCCCTGCAGCTTTTCATTGTTTGTTTTTAAATTTGCGCAAAGCTACATGAGGGCTATCTGCGCTAGCCATCCCTAATTTTGCAGTGTAAGACTAGAGGGAGGGCAACTAGTCATCACCACCCACCGCCAACTCTTGAACTACTCTTTTACCAACGAATAGTGGGATTGACTGTTACATTGTAATGCCCTCACGGCTGAAAGGGCAAGCATGTTTGGTGTGACGGGGATTCGAACCCGCGACCCTTGGATTGCGAGTTGAGCGCCCTAACCACCTGGCCATGCCGGGCCTGCAGCTTTCCATAGTCCATCAAGTGTATGAAAATTAAGGGTTACCAGTGGCTGTTTAAACAGTTTGATATTATAGAAATCCAAAGGTTCTGTATCTGACAACTTAACCAGTATGAATTTGTGTGGAATAGCATAGATATACCATTTCATTCTCTAGCTACTTGAGGTATGCAATGGTTGAATGGTGGGTATGATTAGAAACCTTATCCTGGTGAACCAATACTCTGTTGGCCTCTTTCCAGACTGAGATCCTTCTTGATTATATTGCATATTGTTGCCTAAGGCATGTGGATGGCTTTTGCCACTGATCTTAAACAGTAATTTAGTAATTGTCTTTAAGTGCTTAACCCACTCCCTATGTTATGTGACCCTTGTCCAATTTTTTTTTTTTGTATTCAGATTTCCCTTTATAATAGTATGTTCTTTGATCTGAGCTTCCTGACGCTAATGTCAAGAATTATACCTTGTAATATGACAATGCTAAGACTACTTTACAATTTATGATATCAGTTAACAGTTAAGTTTTTGTAATTATACTGGACAACACCAGCAATTAATGCAATTTCAGGATATTTAAACATCCAACCAATTCAACAGAGATATAACACAATACAACTGAAATAGCATTTCTGAAACATTTATTAGGCCTTACTAATGTTTTTTTAAATAACTTATTGGATACAAAAAATATTTCTACTTAGAATTCTAGCTCATACAAAACTGCTAAAAGGATATAAGTCAGTGAGACGTTTTGCAAGTTCCTTGGATGAAACAAACCACTGATGCATTAAAAGGAAAACATGTGGAAAATCATTGTTTTCTTCTTCTAGGCCACCTACTGGTACTGCAAAAAATCAAATCAAATCACACATAGTCAAGCCTTGATTCAAACCCTTTTTTTCACTTTCATTGCTAATCTTCATATTACAATAGTGTATTAAAATAAGCTTTCTCTGTCATTTTGTGATGTTACATATTCATGAATTAGCTCATAGTTCCAAAAGATTTTCTTCACCTATCAGCAATCTTCATCTTTACTCTGTTGTGTGACAGTACCAGAGACTACTCTGCTAGAGATGTCTAGATGAAGTTTGGGAGAGTGGAAATTAATTTTTTTCCATGGAGAGGTAAGTGTTTATTTGAATTTCATTATAACAGTAATACTAAAATGATATTTTAAACCCAACCCATATTACTACCTAAGATTATCATAAGGAAGATGAGACTGTAAAGAAAAAAGAAGAGATAGCATCTTTCTCAACCAGATAAAAGAAGCACTGACTGCTAGAAGGTCTCATCCATGATGGCTCATAGGAACTGTTCAAGGGGCCTACTGATATAAGACCAGTGGTATTTATGTGACTATGAGGCAATAATGTTCTGTAAACAGCCACACTTGTTGGAACGAGTAACCAGGAATGATGACTGTGGTATGTTCCATCTTGGACCCATGAAAGGATTAATGGAAAACCGGGAAATCTATCAAAAGTACTGGAATTTCATCAAAATAAGGATAAAATAACCACACTAACAAACTCATTCACTACAAATACTGGAACAATGCACTGGGTGATATTTTGAATGAAACTTTATTCACATCATAAAGATCTTTTTATGCTAGATTTCAAGAGAACATCTAGGAAGCACATTGTGAATGTCAGGGATGGAGCTTAATGATCCAAAGAAAATGTTTGACTACAAGTATAAAAAAGTCCATGTTTTAAAATCTATAAAGAAAAACAGAACAACTCCTAAATATGCCACCACTGGGAAAGCACTTCAATTCTTAGGGTGCTTGTCAATGAAATTCAACATTTCTTAAAATTCTGCTTGTGTCTGAAAGGCCACCACCATGTAACAGTAGACAGAATCCAGATAATGATGAAATGGTATAATTATGCAAGTAAAAGGATGTGAATGTTCTCCAGGTGAAACAAGAAACCATAACCAAAAACATCAACATGCAGTAACTCTTATGTTAGAAAAAAGAATGATACATCTCATTATAAATTCTTCACCTTATGGATGAAGAGACTGAACAACTGAGTAAGTATAACAATAAAAGTTTGTCATACACTATGATTCCTTTGGATATAGAGGTGGGAAACTCTCCAAAGAATGTCTCAGTTTTTGATGAGCAGTCTTAACAAAGCATAGCAGTTTGGTGAGGTCAAAACATGCATGTCCTAGTGGAAGTAAAGAGAAGAAAAGAATAAAAAGTAAGCACTTTCTTAAACCACTTTCTCAAGTCCATAATCAAAAGGAACTTTTAGAGAAGAGGTATGAATCATTCCAGGCAAAGGAAATTTTAAATGCAAAAAGCTCACATAAAAGAAGAGCAAGAGCCTGAAAAAGTAAAACAATGTTTCAACTTGGAATGGTGTGAGCAAGTGATATGGAAATATCCTACTGAAAGAGACAGGCATTAAAGAAGACCAAAGTGTTCAAGAGAGCAGCATTCTTTACGAGGTAGAAAGTCTCTGCCCAAAAACAAAGTTAATGAAGTCTGACAACTGCTGAGTGGAAGACAAAGGGCATGGCTGTTCTGAAACCAGTACAAAAATCTTTTTCCCAACAAACTTTCAAGGTGGCATGAAAGCAAGTCCAAGTCAAAAGGCAAGCTAAATATGGTATATTTGAAGGAAGAAGTGACTTCCATGGTGGTCAAACAAAGAATGCCAGGGAAAAAGATGAAGTTTTTTGGCTGATAAAGAGAACACCAAGGTTGAAGAGGCAAACAGCATAACCTAGCACAGAAAATGATCCAGGATAACAGAAAACAGAAATATCCCCGTGCTCTCACAGTTTTGCAAAAACTTATGCAAGGGGAACAAAATTTGGTACAAAAGACAATATCCTCAACAGAGAAAGAATCTGTGGAGTAGATTAAGGTAATGGCAAAATGAACCAACTGTCAAAAAAATATGGATATTTTTGTATCAGCTGAATCTCAGATATTAGTAAGAACAACTACTAGATGGATAATTATTTGAACAGGGTAAGGTGGATACTTCAAAAGCTTAATCAACTAGTACATGTATTTAGGAAGCAGAACTTAAGTGTCAGTAGTCTTTAACTGAAGAAGGTTTTATTACAATTACTCTTCTGATACAGGTCTGAAACCAGTTATCTATATAGTAGTTAATAATCTTTGTGAACATGATTAAGTATCAAATGAGTACACAATTATTGTTAAAAGTTAAAAAAGCAAGCAATCCAAAAAGAAGACTTCTTATGGCATGCAGGCACACTACACGTTTTATTCCTCTTTGTTTAATATTTCTGGATCAGTCACCTATAGTATAACATACACTTTCTTATGGAAGAAAATTATTTAAGGTCGAACTTACTATGTAGATATGGACCACAATGATCTTTTTCACTGGCATGTCAGGGGATACACTACAGATTTAACCTTCCTTACTTTTGATGATAATAACCAATAACCACATGGGCAACACACAAACCAGAGAAGGATAGCATTATTGTTTTATGTATATAATGCTATGTTTTCTCAGTCTGGAACAGTTCTTAAAAATTCTAATGGTTCTCACAGAGATAGCAACAGTTCTAAGGGTTTTTAATAGATTAGATATCCAGTAAAAGCATTGTCTCTCATGTACTTGTCTTATCCTTGATTGTTTTGGTGTATTGAATAAATATTGTTTCCTCTTACTACACCTTATGTCCAGTCTCTTTCATTTTTCAAATTTACAGAATTCAGACTTGCTCCATAACACATTTTCTGTTGAACCTCCTGCTATTTTGTGGAGGTTACTCTTAGGGGAAATCCATGTACCTAAGATTACCACACTCTGAACACATATATATATGTACATGTCACTTTCATGAAAGAAATGGAGAAATCTTCATGAAGGGGACTATGAAAATAACATTTGGATGTCAAAATTCATTATTAATAAAATCTGGAAAAGAGATCGAGAGAGTTATTGAAACTTCTAACTCAAAACAACAGACAATCAGAAACTGAAGCAGGCTTAAGAGATTTAAAATAAGTCAACTATAAATTTCTGAACTAGAAACAAGAGAAAGTAAAATCCAAGAGAACACAGACTGATGATCTCCTTGCTGAAGAAGTTAGATTGAGACCTCTTGATACAAAAGCTCCACTTGAATAAGATCAAAAAGCAGAAGGATATGTGAAAGGAACCAAAGATGGGATAGAGAACCACTTTAGAAGAGAAGACTCTTAGAAAATGATAAGTAAGGCCCAACTTTCACTTACTGGAAATTAAAAATGTGGGGAGAAGATCCTGGAAGTGTCAAAGGGCAGTTGTAGGTTGTAAACGCCTAAAAAAAAAAGACTGTGGATGAGAAGTTCAAAATGAGCAAAATGCGACAGTGGCCCAATAAGAGGGGTAGAATTAGCCTCTTAAAACAAGGATCATTCTGATAACATGAATGTAAACAGAAAGAATAATGAGCTTCTAAAAGACAAGTCAAGGCAGTGAAGGAAGCGTGCTGATAGGAAATTGTAGCTGGCTTCTCACAAATAAAAGGGACACTGACAGAAGCTGAAGAAAAAAAAAGAAATGGATCCCAGTAAAAGAAGTATTATTGTCTTGGAAGATGTTCTATTCTCAATAAAAGGCTAAATAAATTTCCTCAAAAGTAGAGAAAAATTATAAGTCAAACTTTCCAAATGAGAAGTTGTAAGATGTAAAAACATTATCAAGAAAGCACATAAAATATGTAAAATTAATCACATCATGGACAAATGATTATTGATGAAAAGAGTGATCTCTGAAGCTATAACATGCTAGCTAAGAAACCATGTGACACATGTAAGTACAAATGAGGTATTTTATTGGCAGGGAGAATATCTTATTAACAATGAGATGGTTCACAAATGAGTGATGTTATAACATTATTTAGGAAGAAATGTAGAGAAGAACTTAATGACCATGCAATGGATTAGTACAAGTATGTCAAGAGGTAATGTGCTGAAAAGAAGAATCAGTTTCATTTGCACCTTTAACTTTTAAAATTAACAAAAACAAACTTATTATGATAGTTTTGTGTGATTGCATATTTCACTTAATATTGAAATTTATTTAGAGATATAAAGTATTACAACAATATTTTTTATACAACTTACAAAAGGAGCTGACTAGAAGGTCTATCAAAGCATCCAAGGTCCCAGCTTTCACAGCTATGCCAGAAACATAGGGCCGCTCCTCTTCCCACACCAAACAGTTGTTGTTGGTATTACCTCCTATTACTTGCCACGAGATTCTCATAGGATCATCAGCTTCTGGGTTATATAAAATTAGTGACACATTCTTAAATTACTCCTTCAAACAACTCTAGAATAATGTTTAATTTTACAATATGCTTTTTTCCTACATAAAGTCAGGAAGAACATACTCCACACACCTTTATGTGTAAATCATTTCACCTATGGGATATGTTTTTATTTGGCTACAAAGGGACATAGGCAGAAATTTATAAAGGAGGGTGCTACTTCTGGGGAAGAAAATAAATGAGTGGCAAAGCCATATAGAAGGGGGGGATGCCCCATAGAAGGTTTTTGTAATTTTCACTTAAAATTGTGCATTTTGATAGTATCATAGACTGTTTTACACCTTTTAAGTATGTTTTATACATATATATGGACAATTTAGGGTAACCCCTTTGTCTACACACATGCTACATGAACTTTAATTTAAACAACAATACTTGGTTCTTGGTGTTACATTGAATGTGTTCTAAATTATTCAAGTAGTTTAAAAAAGTTTTTAGTTACATTTAAATACAAACTTGATAAAACATAATCCATACCACCTAGGTTAAGAAAAGTAATCTAGTCAACACTAGATAAATATAAACACCAAATATCAGTCAAGTGTGAGATTCTCTGTTAACAGCATCATATCAGATTTCTCTATTTACTACTAACAGTACAACATGATATGAGTATAATGTGTATGTACATAAAAGTCAAAAATAAAATTTATAATTAAAAGGAAAAATAAGCAATCAAGCAATGGGTGATAATTCTAATTATTTATCTTAAAATTGTTAATCTAAATCCTTCATGAGATATTTTGTGGATGCATCCAGTCTATTCATAAATTTCTTATAATGTTACACAGCACAATTCCAAGGTGTCTGATAATAATGGCATTGGTAATAACGTTTCTGATAATTAAACATGTAAAAATAGCACCAATAAAAATGACACTAGTAATATTGCCACTGATAAATATGATTCCAGTAACAATGCTTTTTTTCCACTGAGATTATTACCACAGGCAATTAACTCATACATAGGGATACTGAAAAAAACTGTCGATATGTACAGGAGGCATGCAAATACAATATGCAAACTGCACAATGATTAAAAGTATTCTCATTCTTGACATGATCATAAATAACTTTGCATTCCAACTTGTCAGAGTCTGAAGCAGATTGACATCATTAATTCACAAACATACCTTGAGTACAAATATATTTATAACACATCTGATTTTTTGTGTACAACAGAATTGTACACTTTAACTAATAATTTGAAACATTTCATGTTAACATTGATAGCATATTCGAAATTATAGTGAACATTCTTTTTCCAATATGGGGTTGGTGCAATGGACTGACCCTGCAAACATTCAGTTAATTCACATAATAAACAAAAACAACTTTCCATAAATATATGGCTAGATCTACCTTTCTTAAAACAAAATATAGTAATACAATCCTACATTATGTTCATACTGAACAAATTTGGTTCTTTCTTGAGATATGGCGATCTTGTACTATCTTTCCAAGTCTGAGCAAACCTTACAGTTACATTGTAAGCTACAATTCTGTGATCTGAGCAGACATGACACTGTCCTGGATGTTTTTTTTTATATTTTCTAAAAGCTGTGGTACCTAGTTTTCTGAGTTACAATACCATAACTCTTCATAACAATTGGAAGCTAATTGAGTAGGGCAATTGTTTATTAAGTATAAGAGTATCAATATCATATAGTTATTCATAAAGTAAATATGTCTACTATTAGAAAATTATACATTTAGAAACTATAAGGCAATCAGTTTAGACAGAATTTTATTCATAAAAGGACAGTCTCTAAAAGTCAAGTTAATTTCAGATGCTTTTCTCCCTCCCACATTTCTCCCAATTTGTCCATTGAGGGTTCAAAATTAGAGGCATGCAAAAATGCCATTTCAGATCTATTCTTTCTCCCACATATCACCACCAAGAGGCTCATAGTATAATTCGAGAAAGCGTCAGTTGGGCTAGACGATGAAAGACAAAACACTTCAAAATGCCACCAGTAAATGTTGCAGTTTAAACACTAAAAGATGGTGAAGTTTTATAAACCAAAAGGCCTAAAATTTGAGTTAAAAATTGACTTGCAAATGTTTTTTCACACATACTTCCCTCAATTTGTCCATTTTGGATTCAAAACAAAGATGTATAAAATTAGTATTTCAGTTGTCTTTCATTATTCAGAACAACCGACAATTCTGGTACTGAAATATGGTTACCAAACAGTGAGCTGTGGGAGACAAAAATATTGTTACGTATCTGCTCGTTTGACAATTTCCTTAATTTCCGGTATAAATTCTTTCCGAGGAACTTCAGCGACACAAGTTCTTTCTTAATTAAAACTAGTTTATTCTTTCTCGATACAACTTTGTAATACATAGAATTTCCACAGTCACTTTAAACTTAACAAATTTTACAACACACGCTATAAATCACAGTGGTTCACACAATTTACTTACGGTTCCTAGTGTTCGCTTGACTCAATTATGTCTATCTTCAATCTATCATTCTATCTGCATATCTATCTATCGCTGGCTTTATTTGCCGGGCTTATATGTTAAAAAAGTGGGCGCCTGGCAAACACTCGGACATTCGCGAGGTTCCTCAATAAGTCTTGATCCTTCTAGAAACTCCAGCGCGCATGCTCCCAGCGTCGCGTTACTTCCGCTGTCGTAACACTGCCTCTTCCTTAGT